AGTAGAGGCCGACGCTAGAAGTTGGAGGTCAGCACCTAAGTTTGGAGCCCAAGCAACAGCAAGCGGCAGCAAGCAGCAAGCAGCAGCTATGCCCACCCCAACTCTGCTGACTGGATAGGAAAGCATCCAGCCAAGCAGAGTGGACGCGCCGGCCCTAAGGGCAGCCGGCAAGCCAACTACTAGAAAGGAACCGCAAATAGAAAGAGGCCATAGTGACAAAGTTAGAGGCCTGCGCAATAGGTTAGAGGGCCCAAAGACACAAGACAGCGAAAAACACAAAACAAAACCGAAAAACATCAAGATTTGTGCGTATCATTCCTTTCAACTACAACAACGTGGTATACTGCAAGATTTGTGCGTTTCATTCCTTTCAACTGCAACAACAAGGTTTGTGCGTTTCATTCCTTTCAACTGCAACAACATGGTACACTTCAAGATTAGTGCGTATCATTCCGTTCAACTGCAACAACATGGTACACTTCAAGATTTGTGAGTACCATCCAGCAAACTTCAAAAGAAGCCCTATGACTCCAAGGGTTACACACACACACACCTGCTAGAGGTTCGAAGGGGAGTCGATCGAGGTGTAGCTGCCAAACCGCTCCCCTTCTCCGAGCGAGTGCTGCGAGGAGAAGAGCGAAGAGTTCGACACCGTCTTGCTGGCCATCGGCCGCACCGGCGAGGCCCAGAAGCTGGGCCTCGCCGAGGCCGGCGCCGCTCGGTGGAGGTATACATCGTTGTTCCGGTTCGACGGTTGGCAACGGTTTGGCTGCATGAATTGGGAGGATGGGTGCAAACGTATTTGTTGGTGCAGAAGGGGGTCTTTTTTTTTCGGTGCGACCGTTGGAGGATTCTTGGAATGGTCGTGTGTTGGGGTGCCGCTTCACTTGCACCGTTCCTGAAGAGCGGCTCCAGGTGGGTTGGCCGTGCCAAGGTGTGGTTCAACCCGGAGAACGGCAAGGTCCCCGCACCTGCGGAGCAGACCAATGCCTCTTGGTGGCGCTTTGTTGGTGGACCTGGTGGACCTGTGGCGGTCGATAGGAGACGTGGATGGCCTAGAATGACTGGGAAGATGAGGACACTGATTTGACAGTATTTGACACCGTTTTGATTGCACCAGCTATGATTCCTATATCTCCTGTATGTGTCGTTGTTACAAGTGACACCAGCGAATGAGTGTTTGAGACCTCCATTTGGTCAAGAAGCACCATGTCCCCGCCAAATCCTGCAGATGCCTTCTCCAACCACCAAAGCCAGGCTATACCGAGCCTTCCCGGGCTCTAGCTCCAACACTCCAGCACTTGGCCAGGTGCCCAACATCTTCGCCATCGGCGACCTGGTGGAGAATCGCCCGGAGCTCACCCCCGTGGCCAAGGCCGGAGCTCGGACCACGCGCCGCTCCGCGCGGCCGCTCCGCGACGGTCGCTCCGCGGCAGGTCGCGGGGAAGAAGGTGGCGACGCGGGTCTTCAAGGGCGACTTGCAGGAGCGGCTCCGGCGCGCGGGGCAGGGGGTGGTGGAGTTCGGTGTTTGGGTGGTGGGCATGGGGTGGGCCAGAGGTTTGGGAAGTGGTGTCTTCTTCTTTTTCAGATCGGCAGCTGAGTGCCCAAGGACACGGACCTCCGGCCTCCGTTCCGGAAACCGACACCGATCAACCACCTCTCCACACCACGGACCTCCCGACGACCCGCGACCTGCGACACGACCCGGAGGCCATGAACTACCGCCTCATCGCCACCACCGTCGCTCGGACTGGGACCGCGCGGCGTGGAGCGATGTTGGCCAGGTGGTTGGGGCGGGTTTGGGTCGGCGGGCCCTTGGCAGGTTCGGAGCCGGTTCATTTTAGAGTGGTCTTATGGAAAGAGATGAAGGCCAAACAGCTTGCCGACTGCTGCAAGCTCTTGTTTTGCGAGAAGTAGTTTGCTCGTGGCATGTTTCGTCCAAGAGTTGGCAGCCTCCTTGGGCGTCCAAAATGTTTTTGCCCCCTGCTCCCCTCACAATGAAAGCAGGCCTTGTCGTCTCTCTCAAGGTCTTCACACCTTTGGAGTATGGCATGTGTGGCCTCACAGAGGAGCAGTGCAAAGAGAAGTGTCGTGGCCGCACTGGGGGAGCGGCCAGGGCAGACCAGGGCAGACCAGGCACGTTTCTTCTTCAGTGTGCTTGCTGCTGACCGATCACATGTCCCAGCTGCTGGCAGGCACCAATCCCCGCTTCCCTTCCCATCACTGTGGTGCTTTCAGCAGGTGCATAGCTAGGTGACCAGGTGTGATGACGAGGACTGCGACAGAACAAGACTTCGCGTCTTTCCACAAAGTCTTGAGCCCATTTTAGACCCACTTCTGACTTATCCACATCATCCGGCAGTTCAAATCCGGACCAGGTTGACCAGAGCGGATGATTTCCCAAGTTGGGTCCCGGCGAGGTTTGGTGATGATGGCTATTCGCCCTACACCAAGGCTGGAAGGGAAAGCGTCCCTCAAACAGATAAGGCTGAGGGAACATAACTGTTGTATCGATCTTGGCCGGCACTGCTAGCTACACTGGGCCCACAACGGAACCGGTTCAGGCGTTTCGCTTCGGTGGACGAGTGGCATCAGAAGAATTGGAGTACAAGGTGGACTCACAAAGAGGTCAATGGAAGCGCAAGGTGTGTCACTAAAGTGGCTGCCAGTCGCAAGAACAAGATCAACAATGCCATCATATGGGACATATGCCAAGATATGCCAACTACATCCAAGGGCTCACAACTCTACATCGATCGTACTGTGGCAACTACAGCAGCCGTCTCACAGATGAGAAGATGACCCCTTGCTTGCTCGTTTCCACCCACGCACCCAAGGGCGGAGGTGTGTTTGGGAAGATGTGGGGAGGGGGAAAGCCTCCCCAAAGCGGGCCTTGTGGAGGATCTTGGAAGGAATTGGATGACCCTTCTCAGACCTGTTGGGTCACAGTAGGTCACAGTGCGTGGGTCACGATGCGGACGACACGTTCAGGAGGTGAAGCCCTTGGAGTGGTCGGTGGTCCCACACCGGGCGGCCGCGCCTTGGGTCGGGTCGAAGGGGCGGGGGCGGGGGATGGGTCGTGGGTCGACCGCTCCGTCGCCGTGTGGATCGACACCAGGTAGACGCCCCCAGGGAGCGAAAGCACTCAAGAAGTCTTCTTGCTCCTAGTAAGGCCAGGAGCCCCGTTCGTAGCGTCTTGTTACTACTAGTAAGGCACTTGTTACTAGTAGCTTCTTGTTCCTAGTACCCTTTTTTTCTCACCTTCAGCTGAAGCCATTCATCTCCGATATTTCTCCAAAACACAGAAGGACCACGAAGCACTGGTGAGGAGCCTCAGCAGCCATGCGCCCGAACCAACTCGGCTTGATTGACCGGGCCTCGCAGCTGGGTGCGAAGGGCCGATGGAACTCCACCGAACCGTGCGAAGGATTGAACTCGGCCGTTCGGAACTGGTGCGTGAAGCATGCCGATTTGGACTGCCCAGCCATTTGAGGATGCATTTTTTAAGATCCTGGTGGACAACAACAGTGGCGGGCTCAGAGGTCCTTCCTGGGCGAAAGGGAATGACTCAGGCCGTGAGGCCATGAGGTTTTTCTCCTCACAAGGGCTCACTCTATATAGATGCCAATAGCCCTGGCTAACACTCGGTTAGCCACCATTGGACCTGTGGAGTAGCAAGAAAAACCTAAGACTGGAACTTCTGCACGTGTGCATGGGCCCCTGCGGCGCACGTCACGAAGCGACCGCCCAGCTGGGAAGATCGTGGGCTTCCATGTCTTGGGACCTCAAGCAGGAGACGCTTGGCGTGCCGAGCCGCCGCGTCGGACCTGTTCCGGACCTGGGGACGCGTACGTGGGCGGCCCGTGGGGTGAGGTGGGCTTCGCTAGCTACCCGTCTGCCATGCGTTCGCCTAGCCCAGCCGGATGCGTTCGAGGGCTTTGAAGGCGTTTCTCGTCGTTCTCTTCGGAGAGTGTGTATTAAGAGATGCACTATGAGACACCCCCCAAAAGAATCATGGGCCAACGTGGATAGCATGGCCTCTTGGATGACCATTTTATCCGAAGACCGAGGTGATGAACTCCACTTCCATGTGACTGAGTCGCAGAGCGGTGCCCCTCTATAGCCCCTGGACTGCGCCATCTCTCACGGCCGAGAGACATCGTTTGGGCTCGGCGCAGGAGAGATCACACAGGCTATGGCAGTGGCCATGAAGATGGGTGTGAAGAAGGCCGCGGGGAGGGCGTGGTCATCTGGACGTTGAGGTGAAGTTCTGAAGTAGTAACAAGAAGCTAGTAGAAACAAGTGCCTTACTAGTAGTAACAAGTGCCTTACTAGTAGTAACAAAAAGCTATTAATCTATTTTAGTTTTACTTCTAATAGCATTCTTGTTACTACTAGTAAGGCACTTGTTTCTACTAGCTTCTTGTTACTAAGTGAAGAAGGCCGCGGGGAAGGAGTGGTCATCTGGACGTTGAGGTGAAGGACCTCTCATCTTGGACCGATCTTCACAGTAGACTGGAAGGATGAAGGGCGGTGGCCTTTGGACGCAGAGTCTTGCACAGTTTGGTGGTGATCATTGATGTCTTTGGTTGCAGTAATAGCCAAGTCAAGCGGGTAGAAGATGCAGAGCGAGCGAGGGTGGCTAGCGAATGAGCTGAGCTGACACACGAGATCGCAAAGGTTTTGACCAACGCCCAGTATATCAACCTCAAACGCGGAAGAGGTTGATACTAGTAGTAACAAGAAGCTATTAGAAACAAGTGCCACGCTACTAGGAACAAGTGCCTTACTTCCACTTGGAGTATACGGGGTCCCGTGTTCGAAGACGGCGGAGTCCATCCACCGTCTTTCACCAAACATTCGATCCTGGACACCATCCACCGTCGAAGTATGATCACCAAAGCAGTCACCGAAAGAGCCGGCTGGAGTCGGTTGTTGTTGCAAGGAAATGATCTTCTTGGGGGTGTACTCATGCGATTCTTCTGCAGAATCAGCAGGAAAACCGTCTAGATTTGGTACTTAGCGACTGACAGATCTTCAATGACCTCATCAACCCGCGTTTCGGTGCGCAGAACAGGAACAGTTGGATTCTGTGGTTGGCATTCATCCCACCCTGGCCGAGACCATGACAATGCGCCTTGGCAAGTTGATCGACTCCTAGTTTGCACGATTGTTCATGATCATTCTCCATGTTGTTGCCTTTTCTAGAAATTCTGCTGCTGGTTCATGAAGGTGTAATTAATTCACCGGCTATTTGAACATGCGGTAAGCCTCCAGTTTTTTCATAGGGCGGAGTTGAGGGAGCCGCATCGTTTGGAAAAGAAGAAGGTGCACTTTCTTCTCAAAGGGCCTTGTTTCCCCACACACAGACCTCAGAATCATCAGATGTCCCAAGAGATTTCACAGAAATCGTCACCGTTTCCAGTTGGACTCCCTTTCCAATCGATACAAAATCCATCAAGATCCCCCAAAGACGACGGCTCACACCGCCGCCGCTCTCGGCCCGCGGCCCTGAGGATGTCGGGGACCAAGATCGTGGGCGTCAAGTGGCCCCGGCGATGTTCGCGGACGCGACCCGGAACGGGGCTGGCTGCGAACGGAGCGATCGAGCGCGAGCGAAGTAGCGATGCCCTTGCTCCGCCAGGAGCCCCTAGTCGGATCGCTGAGTTGGAGACGAGCGGCCTGGGGAACATGGGTGAAAGGACTTGATGACGTATCAAAGGTTTCCTAGTAGCGATGCACTTGTTTCTACTAGCTTCTTGTTACTGTATAAAAGGTTTCAAGTCGTTGTTCCAGGAAGAACCTAGGACCTAGCATCTTCCCTAGCTTTGAGGCATTCCGGTCAGCAAACTCAGAAACCAATCTAGCGGCTATATACCTACCAGCACCTTCGAACAGGTCTTTGGAGGGTTGTTAGCCCCTAACAGGTTTCAATTGGTGACCTGTTGGAGGTGCTGAAACTAGCCCTTGCAGTTCAGTTTCCTCCACCCCTAACCTGGCTTTCCTCACCCGCCCCAGTTCGTTTGGTCTCATTCTCTCTCACCTCTCATCTCTCTTGGCCTTCGTTCTGCGCACCGCTGCCAGGTGCGAATCCTGAGTTGCATAGAGGGCCGCTGGTGGCGGAGGCGGCAGGGACTCGGGTCGGTGGATGTGTTTGGATCTTCCGTTGAAAGGACACCATGGACGTTTGCGTCCGATCGCTCCGTCCGTGTGCGTAAGGCCATGGCCACGAGCATGTTGTTTGATTGATTCGAAGATAGCGCGGAGCATGTTGGGGCAACGAGGGCTACTGTGTTGGTTGCTGGCGTGCTTCATATGGTTTCATCCTTTCAGCGTTGTTTTGCCATTCGCTGAAGCCTGCTGCCCAAGTTCCCTGGTGCATTCGATTGCCAAGATCAGGGCTGAAGCCTGTAGACCAGATAGAAGCCTGTGGCATGACCAGTTGGTCACCAGGGGTTTTGAAACGTCGAAGCCGTTGACGTCCGTAGATGTCAGGCCTGTTACAATACATGGCTGATACATGCAGAGCCGGCCATGCTTTGCTTGTCACGATCTTGAAGGTGCCAAAGAATAGAACCCTTGGGCCCTTGGGGGGGATCTTTGAGGTACAGTACTTCGTGGACTTGGCCATGGGGCCCAGACATTCCAACACTGAGTTGTACCACATGTTTGGTTCGCCTTCGGTGGGAGGGTGCCTTTCCGAAATTGGCTTGAAAAAAACGTTTGGAGGGAATCGGTTCCACCTCTTGTGACGAGGCCCAAGCTTTTCATAAGCCAATAATAAGGCAGGCTCCACTGGAAAGGCCAGTTGGTCAGTGAGGAAAGACCCGCTCGGTGGAGCTGTTCCACCAGGCCATGCCTCCCGTTCCGCCATGCGTCCCGCGACAGAGCATAGCCGGGGCGCTGAGAGTGGAGAGGAGCGGAAAGAGCAGAGCCTGTGACCGGAACGAAAACCACATCAATTGGGGCGATCCCTTCGGGAAATGGGCGCGATCCATGGCTCACCGCGAGTGAGCACTCGCTCAACTCTTGCAAAAGGGGAAATGCAGAGAGAGAGAGAGGGAGGGAGAGAGAGAGAGAGTCAGGTGAACTAAACCCTGCTCCGTTCGTGATGCTCACCAAAGGCATGTGTTCCAAATTCTTGGTGCTTTTGTGTGGGACTTGCCTCCAATCTTTGGACCGGAATGATGTTTCCTTGCATCGGCTGCTGACTCAGGATGATTTGGTCAGCAGCGAGTGAAGCAGTTGCAACCAAAAGGTGTTGTGACAGCTGAATGCTGTTGTTTCGCAGTGCCTTGGAGGCCTTGGTTTTAAGAACCTGGATGAACCAAGGTTCCGGCGCGGCCAGCTCCGGCGCCATTGGATCATGGGCTTCAAAAAAAGAACCAAGCCAGCGGCATCCACCGCTCAGAGACACAAACAACGCTTTCCACCCAAAGGGGTTCCTTTGCACCCACCCTGAGAATCCCTTTGAAAGGCCGTGTTTTCCAACAGACATGCTTGAAGGATACAGACATTTTGCAACAGACGAGATGGTGCGTCAAAATCAGATGAAGACACCTTGTGGCTTGGAAGACGTCTTCATGGGCCACGCCTTCCTGCCATGGGCCATACCGTCCAATGGCCACGCCGAAGAGCTTGCGCCCAGTTTTCGCTCGCTCCGAGCTAGCGCCCCGTGCCCCGTGCGCGCCATTGAGCTGCGGGGCGAACTTGATTTGGGTCATGACTTCCCCCAATTCCCGGCTTCCTAGGGAAAAGAGGTGAAAAAATGTATATATGTTTGGTACCTGTTTAGTTATTTTCGGCCCGGCTTTCTGGAGAGAGACTCTAAGAATGTGCTTTCGCCAACACATGGGCCAATGTTCAATGACCTGTCCACAAGCCTTTATTTGCCCTGCTACCGGCGGTTGTGGTGTAAACCTAGAACATGCTCGGGGTTGAATGCTTCGGGAGAGTGCTGCATCGCTTCTAGCAACAAGGGCATTACCACTAGTAACTACAACCCAAAATATCGATGGACACCTGCGGGTCAACTTGAGAAGCAGCACATGGGGTCCGTTTTTTTCGCTTGGAGGGGGAGGGAGAGAGGATACCAGTAGCCGCCCTCTGAGATCCGGCCTCTGAGATCATTTGGAACTTGGGGGATCGAAGTTGGTCGCCTGGAGTCGTTGCACGTCGCTGCATGGAATGGGCGCCCCACTTGATGTTCACTGGCGCACCAGCCGGGTCACAATGGTTGCGTGGCCGCACGGTGCCGCTTTGCGTCTTTCGCTCCGAATCCTGGACGCGCTTCTTGCGATGCAAGACAGCAAGCGTTGACCAGAGGGACGTCTCCAGTGGGCGCCTTTGGAGCTTCAAAAAGGCCAGGCAATTCCGCTGGGAAAGAGGTAAGCAAGCCCTCAACTACAAGTGTTTTTGGTTACTTAGTTGATGTGCCCTTCACACAGACCTGTTGGAATTTCTGGGAGGGCACGATGCGCTTCAGCTTTGACTCTCTCAGTGAGGAGCATTGGATTGGATGATACTGAGTTGGAGTACAGTAGTCTCAGAGTAGATGGCACAATCCCCAAGTTTGGTGGTTCATATGGTTGTCTAAGACATGTAGGGGTGCCAGTGCCATCTACTCTTGAAACCACTGTAGATTTAGATCTCACCATCAACCATGAATCTGTAGCGGTAGAAGGGCTCTTAAAACTCCATTGCTCGAGCTCAGCTGAGGGTACTTTCGCAAATTTGGAGAGCGGTTGAGGACTGGAGAGATACCGAAACCCCTGGCGAGGTCCGCGAGCGACTTGAACATCACGTCCTGCAGTCCATGGTCCAGCATCGTCCAGCTGGTCCAAGCGGAAAACACCCAGCTGTTCGTGCCCCGTGATCCGTCACGAAAGGAAAACGCTCGTTTGGTCTTCCGCCCGTTTCTTCCGGGGACCTTGATCAACGCCAGATCTGGTGCAGAGACTCCCATATCAGGACTCCAAAAAGGGAGGTATCCACTTGGATTCTCGCAAATTTTGGGAGGACTTTGTGTACTGTTCCTCACCTACAGGGATTCCACTTGGGTACATGTTTTAAGAGGAGTATGATATGGGGTCCCCTTGCGTCTCGGGCAGAATGAGGTCAGAGGATCGACCCCTGCCCGGAGCCTATCTCCCGCTGGAAGAGAAAGGGAAAGGACGAGAATGGCCTCCAACCTACTAGCGATGGCCACCAGCCTAGGACGAGAATGTCGACCCTAGAAGTCTAGCTCGAAGATATTTGGACCGACTGAAGTAGCCGACCGAGGCTCCCAAAGGATCCGGTCCCGTTACGTCAGATTCGATCGCCGACTGGACGGTCTCAGGGTAGGGACGAAGGGACATCCTTGGTGTTGGCCGGTTGACATACAAAAACTCACCAAAACTCCACAGATCGATTTGAACGGAACCAGCGAAGGCAAGTCAAGAGAAGGCACGCGTTGGCATGCTTGGCGGCCGACGAGTGGTTTGAAACGTGAAACGTTCTCGGGTGAGGCCGTAGGCCGATGTAGGAGTGTGTGTGTTTTTTTGGGAGTGATTTGAAGGACAGAAAGAAGAAACCCTTCCAAAACCCCTTGAAAAGCAGTGGAGTGCTGTTGGAAAAATCAGCATGAATAGCTTCCATCGCCTTCAAGGAGCTTCGTCAACTACATTGGACTTGGGGATTGGCGCTGGGTGTCACCCAACCAGACCCCTAGGCTAGCACGCTGTCCACCCGGCACCTGGACCCAAGAAATTCTTTCGGTGCCCCAATGCACGAACCCCACTTCGTCGCACGCCAGCCCGCAACACACACGCCTATCGCTTCCAGTGCCAACTCAGCATCACGCATCAACGCATCCCGCATTTCCACCGACTCTCCATGCCCAAGTCGAACACCTTCAGTCCGCCGCTGTCGGTTCGTTCGCCTTATCCGTCCACTGAGGCCCACCGTCCAGGAATCCGACCCTTTGACGTCGGAGCGGCTCAGTCGGCGGCAAAAGGTGTAGAGAAACGAAGAAAACACCCAGGAGAGATGGATCATACAGGTGTTGCACTCTGTTATATCTTGTAATATCTGCGACGGGCCTATGGGCCGACGGTCCGACTGCAGAAACGGATTTAAAAGAACCATGGGCGACGTGACTTCTGGTGCTTAAAGGGGGATCTAGTCTTCCATCTATATGCATGTGCCTATGCTCGGAGAAGCCCGACGGTCTTTGCGAAGCGGAACGTCTTTTTCTGTCAAGCTGTTGTAGCCAAAGCATGGACGAGAAATTCTGGTTCATGTGGCTGCATGATGCTGCATTCATCAAGCGTAACGGGTCACCGTTTTGGACCTCCGTTCGATGGAGCTCCACGTCGACCATTGACCAAGGCCACCGCACAAGGAGAAGGATCCATTGATGCTACTGGGCCTGATTCGAGCGGTCGGGACGGTGGTGTTCATGGATCGCCAGGAGCCCCTGGGCCCCTAGCGTCCGATCGCTCCTACCTCGTAGGGCCAGGAGCCCCGTTCGTACATAGCATCCTGATGCTGGAACTGGCCAAACTGGAAGAACTAATGAAGAAGCTCTGTCCTTTCCAGGGTACCCGTGATGGATGGGTGTTCTTGTTAGAGGTTTTCTTGGCAGAAACATGAGCTGTGTCACTACCCTATAAAATCCAACTAAAAGTGTCATGCCAAGAGGCTTCTGAATGTTCAGTTTGTATAGTTGGACCAGTTTCTCTGGAGGAAATCGGCCACAAAAGCACTGAAGCAAGGATCCCGAAACCTGCAAAGTCAAGCCGCACCAACGTCTCCAAATTGGAGGAAACCATTTGCAAAAGGAAGCCTTTGGTCCCAAGCCGTGGACACATTAACCAGCAAGTTCCATATTGGAGGAGGGGGTGCCCCTCTCACATCCACTCGCCTGGGGGGAGTCCAGCTGGCCGCACCAACCTCCCTTTGACTTCGTCCGGCTCCGACAGAACCGAAGCGTCGCTCCGCACCACCAAAGGGACCGAGGGGCTCGATAGTCAACAGAAATGCCCGCTCAAAAGCCATGGTTCGGGGTCATGGGTTTCGGAATGTTTCGGATATGTCGATTTGCAACCCTGACTC